CTGCTCATGCTGTTGCTGCTGCTGTTGCTGCTGCTGCTGGAGCTGCCGCTCGCCACAACCATGCTGCTGCCTTCCAACTGGTCAGAGCTACGCGGAGAACCCTGTTGATGCAGCTGCTGCTGCTGCTGCTGCTGCTGCTGCTGATGCTTCTGCTGCAGCTGCCGCACTTGGGCTGCCACCTTCTCCAGCGCAGCCTCAGTCAGAGGGTCAATCCTCTCAGGGAACACATCCTATAACAAATAAATAAATAAATAAATAAATAAATAAATAAATAGTTAAATAATTAAAAATTAAACAAATAAAACAAATTATATAGCAGCAGCAGCAAGTGGACCAGCAGCAGGAGCAGATACGGCAGCAGCAGCAGCAGTCAAGGACAGTAGATGCTGCAGCAAGTACAGCAGCTGGAGCAGCAGCAGCAAGTGCAGCAGCAGCAGCAGCAGCAGTAAGTGCAGCAGCAATAGCAACAGTGCTGCAGCAAGCCCATTATCACGCCTTCCCGCATATCGAAATCTAACACTAAACCCTAAACCCTAAACCCTAAACACTAAACCTTAAACCCTAAACCCTAAACCCTAAACCCTCAACTCCAAACCCTAAACCCCAAACACAAAACCCCAAACCCTAAAACACTAAACCCCCAACACTAAACCCTAAACCCTAAACCCTAAACCCTAAACCCTAAACCCTAAACCCTAAACCCTAGACCCTGCTAACTTTGAAGTTTGCGATGACGCTGTCTAAGAACCAGTCAGGGCAGAAGGCCGGGAGATGATGTTTGCTGAGCTGAGTGTGTCTCCTTCTGCAGCGGGGGCCCTGCTTGCAGAAGCCAAAGAAGTAATGGAGACACTCCTGCTGCTGCTGCTGCTGCTGCTGCTGCGCGTAGTTGCTGCTCCCGCTGCTGCACAGCAAACGGCAGGCATCATCCACCACTAAATCTTCTGCTGCTTCGTTTTGCTGCTCGTGACGGTAGACACAACAACCCCTACAAACATGCAGCAGCAAACAAACGCAGCAGCAGCAACCGCAGCAAACAAATGCAGCAGCAGCAGCAAACAGATGCAGCAGCAGCAGCACAAGGGGCAGCAAAGAACGCGTCAAACGCATGCAGCAGCGGCAAACAAATGCAGCAGCAGCAGCAAATGTAGCAAATACACCAGAGGCAGCAGCAGCAAACGCAGCAGCAGCAGCGGCAGCAAGTGCAGCAGAGGCAGCAGCAGCCAAAGACCTCGGTGCAGCAGCAGTAGCAGCTCCAGCGCAAACAACGACGCCTCAGCAGCAAAAGCAGCAGCATCAGCAGCAGCAGCATTAGCACTAGCAACATTATCAGTGGCAGCATTAGCAGCAGCACTAGCAGCAGCAACAGCATTAGCAGCCGCAGCAGCACTAGCAGCAGCAGCAGCATTAGAATTTGCAGCAGCCCTAGCAGCATCAGCAGCAGCAGCACTAGCAGCAGCAGCATCAGCAGCATTAGCATTTGCAGCAGCACTAGCAGCAGCAGCAGTATTAGCATTTGCAGCAGCCCTAGCAGCATTAGCAGCAGCAGCCCTAGCAGCATTAGCACCAGCAGCATTACCATTAGCAGCAGCAGCAGCAGCAGCAGCAGCAGCAGTATTAGCATTTGCAGCAGCCCTAGCAGCATTAGCAGCAGCAGCCCTAGCAGCATTAGCAGCAGCAGCATTACCATTAGCAGCAGCAGCAGCACTAGCAGCAGCAGCAGCACTAGCAGCAGCAGCAGCAGCAGCAGCATACCTGGCAGCATCGATGCAGACACCGTCGTTTCTGCACTTGGGCATTCTCGAGTAAATAACGCGATGAAGAAAATCGCATGCAGCCCCACGCATGCATGCACCCCTCCACCAATGCCTACAAACTACGCTGTGTCTCCCTCTTGCTGCTGCAGCAACAGAGTCTGAACCCTGCACTCCTTGCTGCAGCAGCAGCTCCTGCTGCTCCTGCTGCTGCTGCTCCAAAGCATGCTCAAAGTTAAAACGCGTACGCATGTAACGAGGTACTGCTGATGCTGCTGAAGCAGCAGCAGCAGCTGCTGCTGCTGCATTAGAGGATGTGCTGCTGCTGTCGTAGCTCGCAGCAGCTAATACTGCTGCTGCTGCTGCTGCTGCAGGGCCTTGCGGCAGCGAGAAAGAAGAACGAGGAAACTCCTCGAAAGGAGGCAACACTCCAGAATGCATTGCAGCAACAAAATGCAGCAGCAGCAGCAGCAGCTGCTGCTGCTGCTGCTGCCGCTGCTGTTGCTGTTGCTGCTGCTGCTCCTGTGGATGCTGCTGTTTAATAACTGACTTCACTCAGCATTCAAACGCTACCTTGCTGCTGTTCCTCTTGCTGCTCCCACTGTTATTGTTGTTGCTGCTGTTGCTGTGGATGCACCTGCTGCTGCTGCTGCTGCTGTGCTGCAGCAATAAAGCCCTGTGCTGCCGCTCCAGCGGTCTTCACCGCTGCAGTCGGTTCTGCTGTTGCTGCTGATTTTCTTCCTGTTAATGCTGCTGCTGTTGCTGTTGTTGCTGCTGCTGTTAGCTGCTGCTGCTGCAGGCCTCACCGCCCGGTACTGCTGCAGCAGGAAACAGCTTTGCTGCTGAGGTGCAGCAGCAGCAGCCGCCGCAGCACAGACACAAACTAGAAATCCCAGCACATAAACCCTAAACCCTAAACCCTAAACCCTAAACCCTAAAAGAAGTCTCCATGCCTTTCGCATTCATAGGCGGGCTTCGACTGGGGGCGCATGCAAGCCAGCCCCAAAGGAGAAGCAAACCCTAAACCCTAAACCCTAAACCCTAAACCCTTAAGCGGGGTCTTTTTATGGCTGTGTCGAGTTTCGCTCTCTCGTTGAATGGCCCGATGTCCTGCAGGTTTGCTGCAGCAGCAGCAGCAGCAGCTGCTGCTGCTGCTGCTGCAACTTCTGCTGCTTCTGCAACCCCCGCTGTAGCAGCAGCTCGAGGGGCTGTTGTCTCTCGTCTGTACTGCAACAGCAGCAGCAGCTGCAGCAGCAGAAGGATAAGGGCCTTCTGCACAGCAGCAGCAACAGAAGCACAGCCAGCTGCAGGAACTGCAGCAGCAGCAACAGCCGCAGCAACTGCAGCAGCATCAAGAGCGACAACAGCAGCAGCAGCAGCTCAAAAGAGCAGCGTGAGGATCCTTCCTCTCTCAGCAGCAGACCTCAGCAGCAAGGCTGAAGTGCTGTCTGCTGCTAAGGCAGCTTTCCTAAGCAGCAACAGCAGCAGCAGTAACTGCAGCAGCAACTGCAGCAGCAGCAGCAGCAGCAGCTGGTTCAGGGTGCATGTTGGAGATAATACCATTAAGACTTCAGAAGGGGTGGATTTGCTGCTGCCTTCTCTTGCTGCTGCAGTTGCTGTTGCAGCAGAAGGCGTGCGTGTTCAGCGGCAGCTGCTGCTACACAAGCAGCAGCAGCAAGAGCAGCAGAAGCAGCAGCAGCAGCTTCCGCTGTATCTCTTGAGGCGCCCTTTGACGGGTCTCCTCGCTTTCGTCCAAGACATCTCGCTGCAGCAGCAGCAGCAGCAACTGGAGCAACAGCAGCAGCAGCAGCAGCAGCAGCAGCAGCAGCAACTGGAGCAGCAGCAGCAGCAGCAGACAAAGCAGCAGCAAATAATAGAGGAGCTGCTGGGGTTTCTAGAGACAGACACCGCTCTCTGCAGGGAGGCGTCTCCTTCTGCAGATGCTTTGCTGCAGCAGGATGCAGCAGCAGCAGCAGCAGCAGCAGCAACAGCAGCAACAGAAGATGCTGGCTCTGCACCTTCTCTGCTGCAGCAGCGGTGCGGCAGTTGGGAGCTTCGTGCTGCAGTGCTGCTGCAGGAGCAGCTGCTGCTGCCCCCTCTTGTTGCTGCTTTTTGTTCGCGTCGCGGTGTATCTCTGAAGACAAGCGAAGGTATTTGTGCTGCTGTTCAAACCCCAACAACTATCCAGGTAAACCCTCAGGGTTTAGGGTTTAGGGTTTAGGGTTTGCAATCAAGAAACCCTCACACGAAAGAGGTGCTGCTGCAGGGTTTAGGCTTTACCTCATGAGGGTTTAGGGTTTAGGGTTTATCTGTGTCTAAGGGTCTAGGGTTGGCGTAAGGGTTTAGGGTTTGTTTAAGGGTTTAGGGTTTAGATTAGGGTTTAGGGTTTGTTTAAGGGTTTAGGGTTTATACTTAGGGGGATTAAAGTTAAGGTTTAGGGTTTGACAGCGCGTAGGAGTGCTGCCTGCGGACACTACAAAACCCTAAACCCTAAACCCTAAACCCTAAATGTTAGTATGGGTGCGGTTGGTTCGTTTTATGCACTTGGCTTCATCTGCTGTTTGCTGCGACATGTGCTGCTGCTGCTGTTGCTGCTGCTGTTGCTGCTGCTGCTGCTGCTGCTGCAGCGTTTGCGTAGATGCTTCGGTTTACTCAGCCCGCTGCAGCTGGTCGCGCTGCAAGCAGCAGCAGGGCATCTGCGTTCGGTTATTATTGCTGATGAGCTGCTCTTTGGAGAAGCTTTGCTGCAGCAGCCTGCTGCTGCTGCTGCTGCTGCAGCTGCAGCAACAGCAACAGCAGATCCAGCAGCAGCTGCTGCTGGAGAAGCCCCAACCCCAAGCGCTGCGACTGCCGCTGCAGCGCGCATGCAGGAGATAGCAGCAGCAGCTGGGGGAGGTTCTTCTAATGCAGCAACAGCAGCATCATCAGCATCAGCAGCAGCCGCTGCAGCAGCAGCAGCAGCAGCAGCAGCAGCAGTGCAGAGAGCCTGGGATGCGAGCACAATCGAAGCACGAGTGCAGCAGCAGCACTTTGGTTTCGTTGAGGGGATTCATGATGAAGCAGAAGCAGAAGCAGTCTTGTGGCTTACTGCAGCAAAAACTGCTGTTTCTCTCTTTTAAATCACACCCTGCTGCTGCTGCTGCTGGTGTGGCTGCTGCTGCTGCTGGTGTGGCTGCTGCTGCTGCTGGTGCTGCTGCTACTGGTGTTGCTGCTGCTGCTGCGAAGACAGCGGGGTTCACAGCAGTAGTCCAGTCGAACCCCTTTGCTGCAGTCACAGCAGCAGCAGCAGCAGCAGCAGCAGCAACAACAACTACCGCAGCAGGACACGCAGCAGCAGGAACAGTAGCAGCAGCAGGAACAGCAACGTCAGTCGTAGCAACAACACCAGCAACAAGCTGCTGCAGCAGAAGACAGCAGCAGCAGCTGCTGCTGCTGCTGTCTTGTGTAGAGCGTACTTTCTTTGAACCTGTTTTTTGTTTAATTTATTAAATAAATAAATAATTAAATAAATTTTATTTATAACAATTAAATTTGCTTCACTTCTGTAGAAGACAGCAGCAAACCGAGCCCAGGCTTAGTCGTGGGGCTGCAGGCGGGCAGCAGCAGCAACAGCAGCAGCAGCAGCAGCAAATGTTGCTGCTGCTGCAGCAAAACCCAAGCATATTTTCTTTATTAAGGCATCCAGGCCGTATAGGGGTTACCTGGAGGCCTGCAGCAGCCGCAGCAGCAGAAACAACTACTGCAACAGCAAGCGCTGTCGTTGCTCTTGCTGCTGCAGCAGCTGCCGCTGCAGCAGCAGCAGCAGCAACAACAGCCTTAGCAGAGACGAGAGAAACAGGGAACTGAGCTGCAGCAGCAGCCGCCGCCTCAAGACAATGGCGGCTGCAGCAAACACAGCAGCAACAGCAACAACAGCAGCAGCAGCAGCAGCAGCAGCAGCAGCAGCAGATTGCATGCAACCGAATCTGCTGGTAATTCATTACTTCCCCTGCGGTGTGCCCCCTGTTCAAAGCCGAAGCAGCAGAAGCAGAAAATGCAGACAGCAGCAGCAGCAGCAGCAGCAGCAGCAGCAGCAGCAAGAGGAGGTAATCTTGGATCCTTTGCTGCTGGCAGTTCGTGTGTATGCTGCTGTGAGCGGCATGCAGTTGCTGCTGCAGCCAGACTTCAGCAGCAGCAAGGAGAGGCAGCTTCCTGCTGCAGTGTTCAACGGCGGCATTGTTAAGGGTGAGGAGCTGCTGCTGCTGCTGCAGCTACGGCAGCCGCTCTGCAGCAGCAACAGCAGCAGCAGCAGCAGCAGCAGCACAGCGTCTGGGCGGCACCAGCAGCAATGCCTTGACGATCTAATTGCAGCAGCAATCTGGAGGCCTCTGTCTGCTGCTGTCTCCTTTTTTTTGTTCTCTTATAAAAAGTGCAGCAGCAAATTTACAATCCCCTCTCTCCGTGCAGCAGGCGCTTCGTTTCTGTCGGCTTGGCTGTATGTGCAGCAGCAGCAGCAGCGGCTGCAGCAGCAGCAGCAGCAGCAGCAGCAGGGTTCTCTGCAGCTGCGAGACGCGCTGCAGCTGCTGGTAGATGCCTTACAAACCGTCAGAGCCTTAGGCGAACTGGAGACCCTCCCCCCAGCAGCAGCAGCAGCAGCAGCAACTCCAGCAGCAGCAGCAGCAGCAGCAGCGGGGGAGTTTAGCTGCTGCAGCAGAGGGAGACACTTTCTGGTGTATGCTGCAGACATTTCTTTTTCTGATATTCTGCTGTACGCTCATCTCTCAGTTTTGCTGCAGATTCCGAAGGGTGCTGCACCCTGGAAGCGAGTCAAGCAGCAGCAGCAGCAGCAGCAGCAGCAACAGCAGCAGCAGCAGCAGCAGCAGCAACAGCAGCAGCAGCAGCAGCAGGAGCACGGGGTAAGCGAACCTGCTGAAAGTGGGGAGCCGGGTAGTACGGAGGAGCTGCAGCAGCAATCGGAGAATGCTGCAGCAGCAGGACCAACAGCAGCAGCAACAGCAGCAGCAGCAACAGCAGCAGAATTGCAGCTAGAGGTGGATTCTTTAGACAGCAGCAATGCAGAGGATAAGCTGCTGTTGCAGCAACTGCAGCAGCTGCTGCAGTGGGGTAAGCAATATGTGCAGCTCTTTGAGGAGCATCTCGCCATACATAACGCACGAGCAGCAGCAGCAGCAGCAGCAGTTCCTGCTGCTGCTTCTGATCAGCAGCAGGACCAGCAGCAGCAGCAGCAGCAGCAGCAGCAAGGGCTTCCAATGTATGCCTTCTCGCGTACCTACCGCATCTGCAACTGTCCTAGCAGCAACAGACAAGCCTGCTGTTAAGGGTTTAGGGTTTACTCTGTACGCCGCTCACAAACGAAAGCAGCAAACCCTTCAGCTGCTGCTGCTGCTGCTGCTACGGTTGCTGTTGGTGTTGCTGAAGTTGCTGCCGCTGCTGCTACGGTTGCTGCTGGTGCTGCTGCTGACTACTCTCGCTGCTGCTGTTGCTTGCCTTGTGTTGATGAAGCCCTTGCTGCTGGAGTAGCCTTCCTCTATGTAGCAGCAGATGCTGCAGCTGCAGCAGCAGGAAGTTGCTGCCGCTGCTGCTACGGTTGCTGCTGGTGCTGCTGCTGACTACTCTCGCTGCTGCTGTTGCTTGCCTTGTGTTGATGAAGCCCTTGCTGCTGGAGTAGCCTTCCTCTATGTAGCAGCAGATGCTGCAGCTGCAGCAGCAGCAGCAAATAGAGCAGCAGCAGCAGATGCAGCAGCAACAGCAGATACGGCAGCAGTGTCTTGTAGCAGCTACGTATTAGTTGTCTCCCGTCTCTCTTTTATTTGCTTTGTATTTCTGTTTGTTTGTCTTAAACCCTGTGCTGCACATACTACCACTCCTAGGGTTTAGGGTTTAGGGTTTAGAGATTAGGGTTTAGGGTTTAGAAGCCTTCTCCCCCCTGCCTTCTCCTCCCTGTGCTTCTCGCTGTCTCTGCAGCAACTGGAGTAGCAACTGCAGCAGCAGCAGCAACTGTTGCTGCTGCTGAAGCTGTAACAGTAGCAAGCGCAGCAGTAAGAGCAGCAGCTGCTGCTGCTGTTGCTGCTGCTGCCTCAAGCCTTGTGGTGTACATACACCGCACTGGGGGTTAACAGGGAGACGCAGAAGAGAAGCAAAGGAGAGCTTTAATAAGTTTAAAATAAATTAAAATGTGTATTATTAGTAGATAAACCCTAAACCCTAAACCCTAAACCCTCAAGATGTGGGGAAGCCCTCAGAAAGTAACAGACGAGAGCCGCGAGGGTTTAGGGTTTAGGGTTTAGGGTTTAGGGGTGCGTAAATGCAACTTGATTTATTTAATTCCTACTCAAAATATATAATAAGTAGTGCTGTTGCTGCTGTTGCTGCTACTACTGCTGCTGCAGGGGAGCCTGTAGCAGCAGCAACAGCAGCCGCCGCAGCGGCCGAGAGGCAGCAGCAGCAGCAGCAGCAGCAGCAAGATCTGCAGCAGCAGCAACAGCGACGACGCATATATCTGATTTTGTCTTTCGTAGTGGGGGCGCTCAAAGCATATTTTTTTCTTCATTCTGCTGCTGCCTTTGCTGCAGCGTGCATACACGTGAAAGCAGGGCGAGGTGTTGCTGCAGCAGCTGCTGCTACTGCTGCTGCTGCTGCTGCTACTACTGCTGCTGCTGCTACAACTGCAGTTGTTGCTCCAGGCTCACGACAGCAACTCAAAGGCCGTCTTCTACAGTAACCGGTGCTGCTGCAGCTGTAGTCGTTCCTGCTGCTGCTGCAGCTGTTGCTGCTGCTTTTACTGCTGCGTCTTCCGCCGCATGCAAGCTGAGATTCATAGAGCTGGCTGCTGCAGCAGGGCTATGCAGCAGCAGCAGCAGCAGCAACAGGTTATTTTCGCTCTGTAGGATGGCCTCAGCTGGAGGCGCAGATGTAGTTTAAGGGAGTCGCTGCAGCAGCAGCAGCAGCAGCACTAGCAACAGCGATAGCAGCAGCAGCAGCAGCAGCAGCAGCAGCAAAATGGCTCCCTCAAGTAATTCTTCATCTATTTCTGGGAGGGGGGGAAACAACAGGAGCGGGGGTCGCTCTTATGGACGATCTGCTGCCAGCAGCAGCCCTGCTGCTGCTGCAGCAACTGCAGCAGCAGCAGCAGCAGCAGCTGGAAGTAATGGGAGCGGGAGCAGCAGCAGCACTCGAAACGATAGCAGCACAGCTGCTGGGCGTGTTGGGCGTAGCAGCAGCAGCAGCAACAGCAACAACAGCAGCAGTTCTGCTTCATCTGTTCGCAGCAGCAGCAACAATAGCAGCAGCAGCAGCAAGAAGATGCAATCATCACAGAGTGTATCTGCAGCAGATCCATCTTCTGCTGCTGCTGCTTCTAGCACTTCATCACCTTCCTTACAGTCTGCAGCAGGAGTTGAATCAAATTCTACTGCATCTGCTGCAGCAGCAGCAGCTGGTGCTGCTGCTGCTGCTTCTGCTGCTGGTGCTGCATGTACATCAACATCTACTGCAGGTGCTCAAGATGCATCGATATTCGATATCATCAGCAGCAGCAGGAGCAGCAGGAGACAGCAGCAAAGGGGTATTAGGAGACAGCGGATTGCTTGATAATAATGCTGAAGACAGCAGCAGAAATCACTTCGGGTTGTTAGGCATATTAAAAGTAATTAAAACAAACGATGCCGATGTTAATGTCTTAGCCTTGGGGACAGACTTAACTACGCTCGGATACAACTTAAACTCTACAGAGTAAATTATTATTTATTTATTATTATTTATTTATTTATTTATTTATTTATTTATTTATATGTTATTATTTATTTATTTATTTATTTATATTTATTTGTTTGTTTCAAGACAAACCATCGTCAGATTAATTTACATCCTCTGCGGTGAATAGACAAATAAATAAATAAATTAATAATATAAATAAATTAATTAATCAGTAAATTAATAATATAAATAAATAAATAATAAAATAAATAAACATAAATAAATAAATAAATAAATAAATAAATAAACATAAATAAATACGCAAATGATTAAAAAATAAACAGAGACACAGCACATAGAGCAGATATAAATATTAAGAATAAAGAAGTAGAAGTAAAGAAGGATAAAAATATAAATATAAATAAATTAATATAAATAAAGATATAAAGAAGGATAAAAATATAAATATAAATAAATTAATATAAATAAAGATATAAGCAGTTCGTTTGGTGTTGCAGTGTCTGCTTGTCTTCCGCTGTAAACCCTAAACCCTAAACCCTTGGGTTGTGAGTGCATGCGTTTCAGGTGTCTGTACAATGCATTTACCTCTCCGGTCTCGGAGACGCCCGTGAAGAAGTCTGTGGAGTGAGGGTTTAGGGTTTAGGGTTTAGGGTTTAGGGTTTAGGGTTTAGGGTTTATTGGTTTCATTGCCTCTGTCTCTTTGTCGCTTCTTGTGTCTCCCTTTGCGTCTTCTCCTCTGTTGCTGCTTTTCGTGTTGCTGTTACTGCTGCTGATTCTGCTGCTGCTGCTGCTGCTGCTGGTGGAGGGGAGGGGGTTGCTGCCTTGGTGTTACGCTTCTGCTGCTGCTGCTGCTGCTGCATCAGGGCGTTGCTGCCGCAGTGCTACCATGCTGCTGCTGCTGCTGTTGCTGCTGCGTGAGTGTCTCACTGCTGTAGCTGCTGCTGCTGCTGCTGCTGCAGGGAGTTGCTGCCTCAGTGTTATGTTGCTGCTGCTCCTCCTCCTCTGCGGGCTTCGCACTTGGAGAAGTTAGAGACGAAAACTCTCTTTTATATTTTCTACACTAGTCCTCGTCTTTTGCTGCAGGTACACCTAAACCCTAAACCCTAAACCCTAGGCTTCTAAACCCTAAACCCTAAACCCTAGGCTTCTAAACCCTAAACCCTAAACCCTAGGCTTCTAAACCTTAAACCCTAAACCCTAGGCTTCGAAACCCTAAACCCTAAACCCTAGGCTACTAAACCCTAAACCCTAGCTACAAGCCCTTCTACCCTTCTTTTCTAACGCCATGCACTCGCAAACCCTAAACCCTAGATGCTTCCGCTCCCCAGGCTGCTTGCTGCTGCTGCACGTTTCGCTGCTGCTGCTGTTGCACGTTTTGCTGCTGCTGCTGCTGCTGCACGTTTTGCTGCTGCTTCTGGTGCGCGTCACTGCTGGTGCTGCTGTTGGTTTTGCTCGTTATTGCTGCTGCATCCCCTGCTGCTGCTGCTGCTGCTGCTGCTGCTGGACGTGATTGCTGGTTTTGCTGCTTGTTTTGCTGCTGCAGGGTTATGCTGCTGTTGAGCTCGTGAGAAGGCAGTGGTGTTATCACAAGGATTGGCGGAAGTGGTTTAAAGCAGCAGATGCTGCTGCTGCTGCAGCAAATCTACCGCTGCAGAAGCGTCTCCCTGATGGAGACGATCCCCTGCAGCAGCAGCAGCAGCAGCAGCAGCAAGGGGGGGGAAGTGGCAGCAGCAACAGCGGCGATGATGATGCAGCTGCTGGTGCAGCAGCAGCAACAAAAGGTGCAGGTGAGATACGCGAATACATCAGGGATAGGCGTTGCTGTTGCTGCTGCTACTTCTGCTGCGCGGTATTGCTGCTGCTGCTGCACGTTATTGACCCTAGTGCTGCTGCTGCTGCTGCTGCTGCTGCTGCTGCTGCAGGTGGTGAACGGGAAGAAGCAACGCACTGGATTTGGTTCGATCCAATCTCCTGGACAGAATCGTACGCATGCTGCTGCTGCTGCTGCTGCTGCTGCTGCTGCTGCTGTTGGCGCTGCTGGTATTCCTGCTGTTGCTGCTGCTGCGTATCTCACTCAGTGGGCGTTTGCTGCTGATGCATTCTGCTGTCTGTCTCCGTTTCTGTTGAGTCTTGCGGCCTTATGAACCCTATCGCTGTTGCTGCTGCTGCTGCTGCTGCTGCTGCAGTACATACGTGGGGAAGCTGCCGCTGTCGTGCTTCCTGCCGGAGGCGGAGGTTTGCTTCGCGCTGCAGCAGGGCTACAAGGAAGCAGAATTGAATCAAGAGCTGCAGCAGCAGCAAGTGCAGCAGCTGTACTTGGAGCACCAGCAGCACCTGCAGCAGCAGCAGCAGCACCTCCAGCAGCAGCAGCAGCAGCAGCAGCAGCAGCGACACATACCACAGCAGCAGCAGCAGTCGAAGGTTGATCCCCATGCCCCAGTGGGAGACCATCAAGGTTCTGCTGCTGCTGCTGCTGCGGCGGCGGCTGCTGCTGTTGCTGCTGCTGCACAGCCAGTTGCTTCTCACGCGCAGCAGCAGCAGCAGCAGCAGCAGCAGCAAGGGGGGCCCCCAGGGGGCCCCACTGGAGGCGTTATTAATGGGGGAGAGCTGCAGTCAGTTTGGGCTGGTGGCTGGGCACACCGCTAGATGTGCAGCAGCAGCAGCAGCAGCAACAACAACAACAGCAACAACAACAGCAATATCAACAGCAGCAGCAGCAGCAGCAGTCGCAGCAATGGCAGGAGCAACAGCAGCACCGGCTGCCTCCGCTTCCATTGTTGTTGCTGCTGCTGCTGCTGCTGGTTTAATCACCGAAACTGTTCAAAAGCAGGGTTCCTGCTGCACATCTTCGGAGCTGCATGCGACAGCAGCAGCAGCTGCTGCTGCTGGAGCTGCTGCTGCAGCTGCTGCTGCAGCAGTAGTACTGGCTGCGGTGAAGACGCATCTTCATATAGACCAGCTGATTAATTGAGGTCTAGAGTTTATGATTCATGGTTTAGGGTTTAGGGTTGCGAAGGGTTTAGGGTTTAGGGTTTAGTGTTTAGGGTTTAGGGTTTAGGGTTAAATAGGCTGGTTGTTTATAGAGTTTAATGGCTTATCGGTGTACGAGGGAGGTTTAGGGTTTTTTGATAATGTTCGGGGCAGAGTAGGGTTTAGGGTTTAGGGTTTAGG